ATTTTCTAAATATGGGTTTTTTAAACATTTAACCCAATAAATAACAAAAAGCAAGTGTTAGAATCGAACCTGATGCGTAGGAATGAAGCACGAAAAATATCAGCCGGATTCGTGCACGCGCCTAGAATCATGGCAGAACAAACAGAACGACACTACTCAAATTATTATATAGATGGCAGTGGCACGGGTACGGTAGCCGTATCTTAATGTCTCGAGGTTACGGGTACGGGGTCCATTCCGCTTTCATACTTAACGAGACAAAAGATGGCGGCGGTGAGCCAGATTCGAAATAACGCTTGGAAATAAATTCACCATTTGAGAGTTTAGATGAGCTAGAACCCTAACCCTAAACCTAACCCTAACGCCAAAAAGGGCTTCAACGACCGACGGCTACCGTACCTCCAGCCACTGCGTATATGGATATGAGTGTGTACAGGTATAATTATAGGAATGTATTTGTGGAATAGCAAATATATATGCTGGCTGTATATCCCTTACAAAATGTACTTATATGTCACATATAAGTGACTATATAAGTACATTTAGTAAAGGATGTAGCAAAATATGTAGCACTGCGTGTTATTTTCGTTTTTGTGCCAAACTCTATCGTAGGAAACCGTTCTAGCCTAGCAGAATGCCCTAGTTCCTGAGATCGGCGATTCCATGCTGTTATGGGTCCCCACCTATAAAAATATCAAACAGAGGTGCTGCGTAGGCTGTGATTGGAAGACACAAAGTGTCCATCCTTGGCAAGCCTCGGCATCATTGCCGCATCACGTCAAGATACATACAAGGTTTCCATCTTAGTTTGAACTTTATTAATATATTTATCTAACTATAATATAATATATATATATATAATATCAAGAGTACATAATAGAGATTACTTGATAATATAGATATAAACTATCAGTTTGAATAATATATCTAGTATACTTTTGGTCTTCATCTCCTTTCTCCATTGTTCTGAGCTGCCCTGTATAATTATGCTCTCAATAATGTTCAATGTCAAGGTCAGGGTTCCCACTCACATGGAGTTTTCATTTCCCATGAGTTTTACATGAGTTTTCCAGGACAGAATCACCATTTTCCATAACTGTCTGATATTTCAAACATACATTCACCATAGCAATTGCCATATATAGCAATTGTTTTTACATCTAATTATGTGTTCTAACAAATTAAACATACTGGTGAATCATTTAATTGTTAGTATTTTAATAGCCTCCTCTCCACCCCTTATGGGCATCCAATCCACCCATATGGGTCCTTCTGTGTCGAATCACCTAGTAGTATCTCGACGACCATCTCAGATATTAAAGTAAAAAATATGTCTGTATACACCTTAAAATGTTCAGTAAACATTTGCAAAATATTAGCATCCAATTCCAAGTATTTGTGATGTACGTGAACTGAGTTTTCATTTTCTAATCTTTTCCATGAGTTTTCCATGAGTTTTTGTGATTTTTCAATTTTTTATGAGCTTTCCATGCCTGGAAAATGCATTTGTCATTTTCCAGGAATTCCAGGTTTTCCATGATGAGTGGGAACCCTGCTCATCCATGATTTACTGTTTCCTAGGTATCTATTAGTTAATAATTTCCCCCCCTCCCATCCAATCTGACCCCAACTTCTCTGGTTTGATAGCATCAGCTATTCCTTTACAATTCCTATCTTCGAGCATACAATGTAGACTACCAAAGTAGGCTACTTATAGTTACTCTCTTCAAAAGTTCACCCCCAAAAGTGAATCATCCAAGCTTTCTGCTTATTGTTTTAGTCTTGCATAATGTGGGTGCGTAACAATTCCTGACCCGCTGGTTTTGGGTGTTCTTGACGCTGTGTAGTATGGCTCATAGGAAGTCTACTGTATCCCTTAGCCTGTGGTTGCGTGTTTGTAAGTCTACAGCCAGCGCACCTAGCGGAAGTGAACTGAATCGTGCATGTTTTCCAGAGAGATTTTCCATTAGATTTTCTAAATATGAGTTTTTTAAACATTTAACCCAATAAATAACAAAAAGCAAAGTATTAGAATCGAACCTGATGCGTAGGAATGAAGCACGAAAAATTTCGGCCGATTGCCGGAAAAATGCCGGATTCGTGCACGCGCCTAGAAGTTATGCAGGAACAAACAGAACGACACTACTCAAATTATTATATAGATATGAGTGTGTACAGGTATATTATAGAATGTATTTGTGGAATAGCAAATATATATGCTGGCTGTATATCCCTTACAAAATGTACTTATATGTCACATATAAGTGACATATAAGTACATTTAGTAAAGGATGTAGCAAAAATGTAGCATATGTAGCAAATATATAGTATATGTAGTAAATATATAGTATATGTAGCAAATATGTAGTAAAGCTGGCTTCAGTTATTGGTGGCTGGGTTGTAATCACAAGAAGATTATATCACATCTTGCAGTAAGCAGTTTTTCAGGTTTTTATGAGACTTTATGACTTTATGAGACTTTATGACTTCTCAGACTTTATGAGGCTTACACATCAGACAGAACTTTTTATACAGCACAGTCGATTTATTTTCTACATGACAAGGTTTGTTTACCCGAGTGTCCCAGGCTATGTAACACCAAACCAGCACACCCTAAATTATTTTTATTGTTATGAGTCTCAGATGAAAGAAGTGAAAATTATATGTGACCTAGGCAATGTACATTCCAGTGGGAAATTCATTGCCAAGTTCACACTATTCTAATATGCCAGCCCAGCTGGTTGCCATTAAAACACTTAATCCAGATTCCTCTTGCGCATAGCCAACAGTAACTCAACTTTCTGCAGGATATGACAATCTCCAAATTCTCTGTAGAACTCTTGCAGCTGTTTTCTGACAAGGTTTTGCTTTGCTAAAGATGGAATCTCCTACAAGTATATAATGTATTAGATTACAATTTACTTGCTACGTGGTGAAAATGTTTGAAATATTACATGCACACAAATGAACACACAATCTGTAGGGTTTAAGAGTGCTGACCTAGAAGGACATTTTAGAAGGAAGAGCAGGAAGACGAAGATATAAACCTTACAGAAATTTGTTTTCAATATACAGTGTAGCCCCGTTATAATGTGATGGTTGTGGTCTATAAAATGTCATCACGAAAAAAGCGGGGTCGCGCTAAATCGGGGTTATATATACGTGGCTATTATAAGAGCAAAAAAAGGGGGTCCAATGCCTCATCGTGTTATATCCGAATTCGCGTAAAATCGGGGGTTCCACTGTACAACGACCACATAATGTCCTCTCACCATTTTGGTCCTAGAGTTTACATCTGGTATTAATGCCAGGCAACACTGAGCAAGTGTCTCCAGCTCCAATCGTTGATAGTTATGAGCAATCTCTGACAAATCCAAGTATATGGTTCTTAGTGGACACCTATATTAAATAAAAGTCGCAGCAACAGGTTAGTAAACAAATCAGAACTACATCATCCGCTTAAATGTAGCAAAATATCAACTCTACGAGACATATGAATTACGACAGCATGAGATATTATTATAGATTAAGCTTTTCACAGGAAGTAGGCTAATCACAAAATTTTACATGAGTAATACAAAATCATTTTGAATGTGTTACGAAACCTTACTAATCAAAGCATACACTCACATGAGTACAAGCTGAAATATTTTTAGGCAATTCCGTATCTGTATCTTGTCCAAAGGTGGGGCTGTAGCTGTCAGAGGCTCCAAGATAACATATCGCCATGCCTACACACCAGAATGTTTTGCTATACTGCACATAATCACGTTTTTGACCTATTTGTCGACTAACATGGGAATAAACCGAATGGCAATTATACTGGAAGCAATTAAATATACAGTTGTAATATCCTGATGTGATTAAACCTACTCTAGAGATATTGAGAATGTCACAGACAACACGAGAATTGCACTGATTGCTTTGTTGCTTTTCATCGAAACATAGTATCCAGCAAGTCAATCTCATTTATTTTTGCCCTGATCTGAAGCAACAAACCCAACCCTTCATATGTCATACAGGATTTAAACTGGCATCCTGTACTAATTAATGAGAGTTGGCCATGCTAAGTAAGTAAGTAAGTAAGTGTTTAGATTTATATTCGTGTACCTTCCCAATAGCAGGTGCACCCCACAGACCAGTTATGGCAGTGATTCTTCGCAGCAAGCGTCTCACGTAGTTGTTCTCGCCAGCAGACATTAGCTCATGCAACAAGCTGGCCCAGATGCTCACATCCCAAACACCAAAGTCCACACACAAGCGAGACACAAGCCATGCCGCCGCTGGCTCGTGGCAGTGGTTACGCCAGATTCCATGTACTAGACCCTCCTTATTTGTCAGCCTGCAAATATATTGGCAGTGGGGGAAGGGGGTGGGGATTAACTTACTGATTCAGCACATCAGGCATTCAATACAACTAAGCATCTCATGAGATGATATTTGTTCTGTTAGAGTTCATAAACATTAAATTACATGCAAAGCGAAATTTTTCCTGGCTAATACTACATCTTACGTATTCCATCAAGCTGTATAAACTGCTTTTCAGTGTCGTGAATGGTACAGCAGCTGTCACATTCAACTGCACACATACGTAGAAATGATTCACACAGTGAGACTGCCATCACCTCACCTCTACCCTTGTAATGCTATTGCCTCACACCTTGTACCCTGGGAATGCTATTGCCTTACAGCTTTACCTTCAGAACGCTATATTGCCTTACACTCTTACCCTCAGAATACCATGGCCTTACACCCTTTGTCATCAGCTAACACCCTTACCCTCGAAACCATTGCCTGACACCCTTACCCTTGGAATCCTATCTTCTCACTCCGCTGCCCTTTACATGCTGTCACTTCACTTCTCTACTCTCGGAATACTGTCACCTCGCTCCCCTATCATTGGAATGCCGCCACTTCCCCCAATAACCTCAGAATGCCACAGCCTTGCTTCCCCTACCCACAGAAATCTGTTACCTCATTTCCGCTACCCTCAGAACTCTGTTACTTCATTTCCGCTACTCTCAGAACTCTGTTACTTTATTTCCTCCTACCCTTGGAACTGTTGCTTTACTTCTGCTACTTCGCAATGCCGCAGCCGCGCTTCACCCTACCCTCGGAACGCCTCTGCAGTCATCGGCACGTGTAGTTGCTCGAGTTCCGTGACGTAGACGAGTGTGCGCAGTTGTTCCTTCACGTCGCCGATGGGACACTTGAGCAGCTCCTCGATGCGTGACGTCTCGTAGAGAGCGAGCAGGCACTCGAGCGCACGCGCACAGCAGCGGCTGCCGCACGCGCTCGCCGACCCCCCGTAGGCAATCGCGACGAGGAATTGCGCGCTGGCGTCACTGTCGTCATGCTGCAGCTGGTAGACAGCTCTCTGCAGCGCCACCTGTGATCGACACGAGTCGTTGCACCGAATGTCGAAGTTCTTATGAGATTATTGTAACATGCGTTCTAACTTGCCTAATAGGTGGCGCCAACTACTTCCCCGAAGCCAGTGTTAAACACCAACGTGGCAACCTGCACTGAACAGGAATAAATTCGTTGCTCTTTTACAATAGTAAACCTTGGTTCTCCATTCTTTGAATTAGGAAATAGAACAGTTATTTTTTCCAAAATACATTTCCAACCATGATTATTAACCCGACACGAATTTAACATGATTTTTACGTGACACGATATTTAATAATGTAATAATAATGTAGTTTTATGGCCACACATCACAATCTACATTTGTAACATGTATAAATCTGTTAAATAGGACTTCATGAATTACATTTCTAAGTAAAATAATCTTGAAGTGAGTAACTATGTAGGAATTACTCATTTGATATTTTAAACATGTTATTGCTCTTGTAGCTAATGATCTGCTAATCTATGAAATCATGCAAGAGAAAATTTACAACTGAAATACCGTGTCATCCTCCTCACATGCAGCAGCTGCTTTTGGTGGAGGTGGGTTACCAGCTACCACATCATCAGCCTTGTTTTTGATCAATAACCACTTCTTCAGCAATACCAGTCTAATCTTCTTGAGCTCCAAACGATTTATGCTACTAATTTTCTCAACAGCTTCATGGATATCAGGGAACTGTCCTGTAGGAAGAGAGTTGAAAATATAAGTCCATTTCATTCTATGGTCAAGAGCAGCGTTGTTGCCATGGAATAGACCTGTAAAAATTAGAGACAAAGTAATTGCAGTCTTAGTTATGTTCACATAACTGTGCACGCTGGGATCTGATTATTTTTTGTACTTTTGTCTGATTAAGGTATGTTAATTATTACAGTATGTTTCGATCAATTTGCATGTACCTTATTCAGAAAATACCACAACAGATAATAATATTAATTCATCATTTTTTTTAATTGTGGAGAAAAACGAGTTAATTAGTTACTGACACAGTTGTCACAACATAGGCTGCAATTTTATCATTAAATTACACATTTAGAGAAGCTCATGGAAAATTCAGCCAAAATCTGAACTGCAACCTTCCTCAAATCCCATCAGTACTTTCACTTACATCCCTGTTGTGGACAATACTAACCATCAAGCATGTTCACTATGGAAATGAAGTGGTCAATGCTAAACGATCACAGCCATGCGGTGCTACCTTCACAGTACATGCATGTTATCTGTGCTACTTGCCTGTGGGATGCAGTATGCGCTCCGAGATGCTGCCGTGCTCGTACAGTTTGAAGACGAGCTGCACAGGATGACCCGTGAGCGCCACGTAAGCAGTCTCAGCGAGACCGTACTCGTGAAGAATCTGAAGTATAAATGTAACTCGTTCTCATGCTGCATGCTCATGCTTATGTGCAGGGTTTAAGCTGTCATTTGCTAATTCGCCAAATGCGAATTAAAGTTGAATTTGACGACAACATGTCATCATAAGTTCGCCAAAAAGCTCAAGCTAATTAAGCCCTTTAATGGGATTTAACATCTGTCTTCTGCACCAGTCTATGTATATGAATACCTCATGCACTTCATGTGAGTCCTAGTTTTCCATTAAATGCCTTACTGAAGGTTGCATTGCCGGCCAGGTTGCAGGTCTGTTATTCAACCAGAGCATGGCAGTATGTTAGTGCTCAGTGCTGAAGAACTATTGATACTGTGAGACCTGTGCATACCTGCTCCGTAGAAAGTCTGCGCCAGGCGTCAGTGAACTTGCGCCAAGCTCTCTCAGCTATGGCCTTTTTATCATCCTTGCAGCTGTCGCACCAGTTCTGCGCAAGTTGCATGCAAGCCTGCAACGCCAGCACTTTCTCCTGCCCCATCGGCAACACCTTTACAATCCACCGCATACATGCTAAAACCAGCTCCTGGTCTACCACTTTACTTAGTAGTTCTTGGACTTGGTCAATCATGCGTGGTTTTTTATCTGTCGCAGCGTCTGGATTCTTGTCACAATCACTCTGCACAGATGTGCCTGAAGGTGATTTCAACTCCTTACAGTGGGCACTCACGATATTCCGCACTGCGGTGAGGTACACCTGTACGAAATAATACGTAAAACATGTAACAAGAACAGCAAGAATATATAAGCTGCAGCCTGCAACAAAGCTGGGAAGCATCGAGCATAACGTGTGTCGACCCGCCTCTTGTTATAATAATTAAATTTATTATAGGTTACTGTTATTTGTGTCGAGCCGCCCCATGTTATAATAATTAAATTTATTACATGTTACTGTTATTGGTGTTGAGCCGCCCTTCTTATAATAATAAATTTGTATTATGTTACTGATATTGGTAATTAAATACGATCTACGCCACTATCCACATCTACCGGCGGCCGCAATGCGGTGGTCGGCTCAGTGCGCGACGCGAGAACGTGACCAACCTGATCTTTGGAGAGCGCCAGCACCGACGCGATGGCCACCCACGTCTTCACCGTGTCAGCGTTCAGCTCGGGCGTGATGATCTTCCACGGCTCGTTCCACGGCTCAACCCCGTCGAGAACGAGCGGATGGAAGGGCAGCCTCACCGACGCCTCGGCGGGAAGCCCCCGGCCGAGACACAGCATGTCTCCGTCATCGTCGTCGCGCGACGAGTAGTTCGTCTCGTACTCGCTAGGGGGCGCCGTGCGTCGGTACTTGCGCAGGTAGGTGAGCGCGGAGAGGCGCCGCGCCGCGCTGCCGTGCGATGCCGCGAGCCGCTCCAGCACGACGGCGAGCAGGTCGTGATCGTAGGGGCACATGCGCAGCAGCGCCAGGTCCAGCGTCGCATCCAGCTGCGCCGCGTCCAGCCGCGAGTCCGCCGCCGCCGCAAACACCTGCCGCACGGCGCGCATCCTCGCCTCGGCGCGCTCGTCCGCGGGATGGTCGCCGTCGCCGCGGCAACGATCGTCGTCGTGCAGCAGCACGCGCTCGAGGAACAGGAGGAGGGCGCGGCCGACGTTGAGACCGTTCATCTCGCAGAACGCCGTCACGAAGGCGACGTCGACGTGCGGGTGGCGCACCATGTCGGGGAGCACCGCCTCCTTGCTCTCCTGTGAACCCTTGAGGGCGTCGCCGTAAGGGATGTTGAGCTTCGACAGCCGACTGCCCCAGTATGCGTTCATCTTCAACTTCTCACACACGTCCAAGATCTTCGGCTCTTGGACGACGCGAGCGAAGTCTGTGCCCACCTGTGAATGTAGCCACGCAATGTGGGAAATGTGAAATAATAATAGACAAAGTGTTCTGCGAGAAGTACCATGAAAGAGGATGAATATAGAAATATAGATAGGTTTTCCATGTTATTAATTTAAAGATAGTTTACTATAAAAGCCAGTGTACATAATATGTGCAGCATAATTGGAGTGATGGAGGAAAAACTTAAACTAACCTGTGCTACAGCCATAAGAGCATTAAACCTGCCCACACTGCGGCTAGCCAATTTCTGGAGTTGTACGAAAGCAATGTTATGAGGCCACATTGTGAGTAAGTAACCCAGGGCCAAACTGTGATCCACCTGTAATAATAAATAGCCAAAAACAAAATATTATACACACAAACAATTTTTACCTCTATTATATTCACTAACACGTTGTGCAGTATGCAAACAAAACATTTTGGTTTTGAAGTAAGATTATTATTTTACATATAATGATCTTCTGTTGAATTTCAAAAGCATGTTTCAACAGTTAGGGTAAGTTCTTAGTTTTTAAGTTCCTTAAGCAAAATAGAAAGATCTCTCACCACTGTCAATTACTTATTTTTACCACAACACCACCACTTACATGTAACAAGCGCATGCAAGACATGAGATACACACCTTCAATTTGTTACAGATCTTTTCTAATAGAGGAACAGACAATGTCGACATTCCCTTCTTTAATTCCGTCAAATGTCGGGTGAGCTTCTCCCGTACAGCCATCAGTGTAACGATATAGGTGCGATCTGTAGTCTGGTACCCCATCTCCTGTGCGGAGAGCATCCGAAGGAGGCAACCCATCGTCATGGCAACCTGTCTAAAGGCGAGTTCATTCAACGAGTTCTTCTCAAAGTACTGTATCAGCCGAATCGCTGTTGCAACCAGTTCGTCGCCAAAGTGGATGTCAACTGCCTTGTCATCTGTGGTAGCATCGATAGCCTTCGCTGTTGTTGCCACGCCTCCGGCAGAGTTGGCCGTCTTCGACGTGGCCGCGTCGCCTGTGCTACCAGCGACCGTCCCCAAAGTGTCACGCAGCACCAGCAGCATACTACGAGCGGCTGTTCGCTCCTGTACGTAGGGATGTCTCGGCAGAACCGGCGACGGAACGCACGCCATCGCAAAATCGTGCGTCAGTGCCAACACGGGCTTGGAGCGCATCAACGATCCATCCTCCTTGAACGTGTTGAACAGCACGTCCTCGATCCAGCCGTATTCGCAGACGCGCTCGTGCCCCGCCGCCTCCTCGCAGTTAGTCTGCACGACGCACGCCATCTGCACCGCCTTGAACAGCTCCAGGCAGTCGGGAAGCAGGTCCGCATGGCAGCAGGCCAGCACCCGCGCCACCAGATCACGCAGCTCGCTCGCCGTGCAGGACTGCCATCGCATGAGTGCGTGAACGACCGGGTACAGCAAGCGTGCTGTTCGACCGTCGCTAGCTCCCTCAGCTAGCTGCGTGCCCAGCGCGAGGGCGACGCTGCCACGGCCGGCCTGCGCCTCGGTCGTAGCCAGGCGGGCGGTCAGCTCGTCGTGGCTCACGCCTAGAAGCTCTGCCACTCTGTACAAGCCGGTGTACCTCCACTTAGACACGACCCCCTTTCTTCTGCTACAAATAATTTTTGTAATGTCAGTTTAACACTAAAGAAAATTAGGGCCTGCGAAAACGCAAAAAAAGTGCAGGCCAACTGTGCTGTAGGCAATTGTATAGAAATACAAATTGTAAGTAACAGACATGCCCTCTTCTTTCCAAACAAACTTGTTTAATGTATTATAACACTGAAGCAACAATAAATGAAAGTGTCAATGACACTATAGCTCACCTTGGGTGTGATAGAAGAGGGAGATGATATTTAAAATTTGGTAAGTGTTTCATTTATGACGGACCGAAATGTGATCAAATGTCCTCATTCCCTGTTTTATACTAGTAGAAACTTCACTACTTTGTTTCAGGGTTAGTTGTGATGCTAAAATAAATGTTTCAGGTCTGAAATCTGAGCGAGAGATGGCGCTACGCCTAAATTATCGCCATTTTGGTTTTAGATTATCGTGCAAATAAAAGCAATAAAATATTCCAGTCAAGTTACTGTAACGAAGAATCTAAAACACAATATTACACGTAGGTATGATTAGGTAGGTAAGTATAGGTAGGTAAATTTAACAAAATCGAATGAATTCTAGATGGCCATTTTCATTTCTGCCAAAAAGTGGGCGTGGCTCGAAAGTAGATCAACTGGCATGCTCCAAAATAGGACGTTCAAATCTCTCCAATAGAAGTAACAACTGTATGCAATTTGAAATATGTGGGTGAAACGGTTCTTGAGTTATCGTTGACCGTAGGCAGACAATGAAATGAATAGTGAAATTGCCAAAGTCTACCTAATTTGCATCATTTTAAAAAAATAACAAAAGCCCTGTGATATGTTTTGGGGCCAGTCCTTATTCATTCACATACCAAAAATGAGCAAAATCCGTTGAACCTGAACTGACTTATGGCTATTTCCATTTTTGCCAAAAAAGTGGGCGTGGCTCGAAAGTAGGTCAACTGGCGTGCTCCAAAATAGGACGTTCGCATCTCTCCCATAGGAGTAACAACTGTATGCAAGTTGATTGACGCCCCATGGCAATAGCTCATCTTGACGATGTCAAGGCGAGCTAAAAATCAGGACAATTTCAGGAACAAGATCTGCTGAACTTACGAATGATTTCTTTCATGGTCCTGCTCAGCCTGACCACTTAGAATAGCCTGATGGAATGACATCAAGTGCTGATCAAGTAGATTCTTTTTAAACTCTGTACTCTGAAAGTCTTCTAGAGTGAGAAACAGCCCAAACTCAATCTGCAACAAATGCAAGGGTGTCAATACAACACACTAGATATACGCAACACGTCGTTGCTTTATTATTGCCAAACGTATACTTAACCACAGATTGGGATAACATAAAGCTGTTGTTTAAAACCAATAAACTATTAAATATAATTAATGAATAGAGTATTAAAACCAATAATACCTACCTGCAGTGCACTGATAGTTTCCATCTCCTGTAGCAACTCCAGCAGGTCAGGAGACAGCGGGCTGCTCCACGTACTCACACACCTCAGCACCTCGACAGCCGCTCTCGTGAACGTCACCTTCTCCCTCCGCCCTTCCTCGTCGAACTCGGCCGCGTCGTTCAGCACGACGGCGCACGCGGTGGCGACGCGCCGCGCGCAGATCGCGACGTCGCCGGCGGGGAGCCCGCGCAGCAACTCGATGCAGGCCGCCGCCTCGCCGCGCGACACGAGCAGGCGCGCGTGGAACGCGTACGCGTCCGCCTCGCGCAGGTGCGGGTAGGCGCGCACGACGACGAGCGCGTCGGCGACCGCCGACTCGCGGCCCGCGGCGACGACGTGCCGCGTGAACGTGTGCGCCGCGCCCGCCTCGGCGACGTTGTGCGCGCCGAGGTCGTACCGGCACAGCACCTCCTTGAGGCGAACCAGCCGCAGCTGCAGGTCGAGCTCGGCTGCGAGCGGGTGCCGCAGCGCGAGCGCGGCGTTGACGAGCGCCGCCATGTCGGGGCTCAGCGGCACGCCGGCCTTGCGGAGCACGTGCGCCGTCGCGCGACACTTGTTCTCGGCGCCGCCGATCGCGTTGACGACGGCGATGGCGCGCGTCTCCCACGATGAGCCGAGCACCTGGTGGGCGGACTTGTTGGGGCGCTGCGCGAGGTCGACGACGTACTGCAGCAGCACCTTCTCCTCACTGAGGCCGTGCTGCTTCACGTACGGTCGCACCTGCCTGTCGATCGCACGAGAGATCACGTCAACCGCCTTGACCTTGTCGAGCATCCTGCGGTAAAACACCAATTTTCTTCTATTATATTATATGTAACGTATATATATTATATAAATAATATATAAATAATTATATTATTATATATATTATATAGTATATTCTATTATATATGTAGATTTTGCTAGTTTTAGGGGCCTTGGGTTTAATTTTCATGCCAGCACAGACAGAGTTAAGTTGGTAGTACACCAAGGTAAAGATTTCTTTCAAACAAGGGTATCTAGATGTATTTATTCTAAGACTATATACTAGATACCAACACTGGGATTAGATAGTAGGTGAAGAAGGCAGGAAAAGGCATCAAGTCAATTCACCTTTTAATAATTCCTGTGGTGCAAACAAAGATACACAACATGGCATTTATGGGAGGCAGACGGAGGTAAACCAGATTGGCTAGGCATGGCGGTCTGTTGTGAATATCGTCCAATTCTCGGGGGCACCACAGTATGTAAGAAAAGCAACTATGAAACTCGCCTCAGGTGCTAAGATGACATTAGAGCATTGCACGCACCACGTTGTGCACTCACGCGTCACACACAAACGTCAATTTGCAAAAAAAGAGAGGAAGGAATGCACCTCGTAGCCCTCCGACCTCTGTGACCTTCAGTGACCTCTGACCTGTAAGCGAGACTCTCGACGTTCTCCTGCATGTACTCGTCCAGCGTCAGTCTGCAGTTGTAGGTGGCGTGCAGGTCGGCGAGCATGCGCAGCGAGTGACACAGCATCTGCAGGCCCGCCAGCCAACCCTTCTCCAAGCGCTTGTCGCAAAGTTGCGCGTCCGCCTCGGCATCGCGATTGGTCAGCAGGTACTCCAGCACCGATATGGCGCTGTGCGGCCACCGGTCAGCCGCCGCCGCAAACTCCATGCCCCTCACTCTTGCTTCCAGCCACTGTGCCACGGTCACGGACTTCTTTGGCAGCTTGCCAGCGACGAGCAGAAACAGTTCGTCTCTACACCATTCCTGAATGAGAAACCGATTATTAATAATAATATTGTAAATACTGGACAATAATACTGTCTCTCGTTTCATCGGAGTAGGAAACTGTTAGTCGTCGAACCTCCTATCAAAACATGACAAATTATTCAAAAGTATAACAAACATGAAAATACACACACA